TGCAGAAATTTCTTTCACGGACTCATCTACTGGCTTTTGCAGCCAGAAATTGTGGGGACTTATATTCCCAACTCTGGAATCCTGGGCTGGGGGGCCTGTTATGGGCTAAGAGTCTTTGCTCCTAAGATATTGCTCCTGAATTTTTATCCATCACACAAGGGACTAGCCCATTCTGCATTTATGGCCCTCTCTGTCTCAATAGATGTGGTTTCTTTAATTCTGTAGTTGTCAGACTTCCATTCAACTCGATTTCTGATGATTCTGCATGATGGTTGTTCTACATTGTAGTTGTAATTTTGATGTGGTAGTGTGAAGAGGTGAGCAATGTCTGCCTACGCCTCCATCTTGACTGGAAATGGAAAGTGAAATTTTAAAATGCAATTAGAGTAGTGTAAAAATATAATTCTTATGGATAAATTTAATGTAAAATCTGTAAGATCTGTACACTGAACACTTCAAATCTGAGAGAATTAAAGAAATCTGGCATAAATGGACAGACCAACTCCTTAGAATGAAAGACTCATAATTAATGTAAATTCTCCCCAAGTTGACCAATAGATTTAAAGAAATACAAAACTAAATACCAGTAGGTGTTTTGTAAAACTGACAAGCTTATGTGGAAATGGAAAGAACCTAAAAAGCCAAACTGTGTTGTGAAAGAAGAACAAAGTTGGAGGACCTGCACTACCTGATTTAAAACTTAACTATGAAGCTATTGTAATCCAACTAGTGTGATATTTTCCCATCTTGAAAATGAAATGTAGACATTATGATCCTTTGCATAAGCCAGCATTTTAAAATTACTTCTACAGAAGGTATTTTTAAACTTAAATCTATACTGGGTATTTATGGGAGAGAACAAGCCATGTTAAGTACAGAATCTTTTATATATATGATATTATTTAGATACATAAATAAGATGTAATTATAAAGTGAAATTTCCATAAATGTAATTTGCAATAAACACTGTGTATCTAATCTTATACATTAGGCACTTTTCCTTCTCTGTTTTCATTTTTTCTCTGACCACATAGTAAATTTATAATGAAACTAATAATTTTTTTAACTGAGGCTTTTAGAAAGTAAGATTTCTATTACAAGTAAGTGTAATAGGGGTTGGAGACAGACACATGAATCTTGTTGAATGAACAGGATTTGGGAGTGGGAAAGTAATAACATTTCATTTTATTTTTAAGTGTATTTTATTGATTACGCTATTACAGTTTTCCCAATTTTTCCCCTTTATCCCCCCTCCACCCTGCACCCCCATCCTCCAGCATCCCCCACCCTTACTTAGTTCATGTCTTTGGGTTGTACAATAAGTTCTTTGACTTCTCTGTTTCCTATACCATTTTTGACCTCTCCTCATCTATTTTTTGCCTACCAATTATGCTTCTTCTTCCCTGTAGCCTTCCCTCCATTCCTCCCTTTCCCCTCCCCACTGAAAACCCTCCATGTGATGTCCATTTTTCGGATTCTATTCCTGTTCTAGTTGTTTGCTTAGTTTTTGTTTTCATTGTTTTTCTTTTCTTTAGGTTCATTTGATGATAGTTGTGAGTCTGTTGCCATTTTACTGTTCAGAGTTTTTGATCTTTTTCTTAGTTAAGTCTCTTTCACATTTCATATGATAATGCCTTAGTGTTGAGGAACTCCTTTAACTTGACCTTATCTGGGAAGCACTTTATCTGCCCTTCTATTCTAAATGATAGCTTTGTTGGACAGAGTAATCTTGGATATAGGTCCTGGCCTTTCATGACTTCAAATACTTCTTTTCCAGCCCCTTCTTGCCTGCAAAGTTCCTTTTGAGAAATCAGCTGACAGTTCTATGGGCACTCATTGATAGGTAACTCTCTCCTTTCCTCTTACTGCTTTTAAGATTCTCTCTTTACATTTAATCTTGGGTAATTTAACCTTGGTGTGTTTCTCTTTGGATCCAACCTTTTTGGGACTCTCTTGGCTTCCTGGAAGTCTATTTCCTTTGCCAGACTGGGGAAGTTTTCCTTCATTATCTGTTCAAATAAGTTTTCAATTTCTTGCTGTTGTTCTTCTCCTTCTGGCACCCCTATAATTTGGATAATGGAACATTTAACATTGCCCCAGAGGTTCCTAAGACTCTCTTTATGTTTTTGAATTCTTGTTTCTTCATTCTGTTCTGGTTGGATGTTTTTTCTTCCTTTTGTTCCAAACAAAAAGGAACCTAAAATGGCCAGAGAGGGAACAATGCAGCTTGCCTGCTCAGCTATAGCCCATTTTCCAATGATCTAGTGTGAGACTGGGAGTTTCTCCCACCGGGGCAACTCCCTGCCATAGTCCACAGTCAGTTCTGAGAGTCAGTTTCCCTTTCAGTCAGTCCCACCCACACAGTCCGCAGCCTTGCCATGGGCTCTCTCCATCCGCCCATCTTACCAGTCTGGCTAGTCTGGCTGACTGTTTCTTTAATTCCCTGGTTGTCGGAGTTCCATGCGGTTTGATTTTCTAGCACTTCTGGTTGCTTACTGATTTTAGAGTGGTTGTTATCCTCCTCTTGATTGTGTGAGGAAGCGAAGGGTTTCCGCCTATGCCTGCTTCTTGGCCAGACTGATTTTTTAATATAAACTGCTAAGTGTTATCTGTTTCTCAATTTTCTAAAAGACTTTGTGTAAGATGGACATTATATCTTTCTTAAATGTTTCATAGAATTTAGCACTGTAGCCATCTGGCCCTAGATTTTTCTTGGCAGTAAGATTTTTAATTACAAATTCAAAAATTTAATAGATATAGGGCTGGTCAGATTGTGTTTCCTCTTGTGTCTTTTTAGTAATTTATGTTTCAAGGGGTTTGTGCATTAATCTGAGTTGTCAGATTTATTGGTATAAAGTTGTTCATAACATTCCTTTAATATCTTCTTACTATCTGTAAGCTTTCTAGTGATATTCCCTATGTCATTCCTGATATTAATTTGTGTTCCTCTTCTTTTATTTTAATTAGTCTAGCTATGAGTTTACCAACTTTATAGATCTTTAAAAAAATAAAAACCCAGCCATTGTTATCTGTTTTTTTTTTTTTGTTTCTCCGTATTCTCTTTCATTGATTCCAATTCTCATCTGTATTGTTTCCTTACATTTCTACTTAGATTGTACTTTATTCTTCTTTCTCTGGCTTCCAAAGTTGGAAGGTTAGATCATTGCTTTTAAATCTTGTTCCTATCTAAAATAGGAACAATCTTTTTGACCTCTGTGTAACTTAGAAATAATTTTCAAATGTTTGAGGATTTTCCAGATTTTTTTGTTCTTGGTTTCTAATTGAATCCTAGTATGATAAAAAAAATACACCCTGTATAATTTCAATCCTTTGAAATTTATTGACACTTGTTTTATGGGCTAGTATATGGCATATTTTAGTTCCATGAGCACTTAGAGAGAACACAGTTCTTCCACTTTTTAGATGCAGTCTTGTATAAATGTCAATAGGGCAAGCTGGTGAATACTGTTATTTTATGTTCGAGTTTGATTTTTTTAAGGGCCTAAATAAACATCATTACCTAATTTTTCTTATTTTTTTTTATTTTATTTCTTTCTTTAAATTCAATGATCTCTTTTTTGTACTGTTCAATCTGCTTAAAGTCTATCTTCTGAACTTTTCATTTCTGATATGTACAGGGTGGGGCAAAAGTAGGTTTATAATTGTGAGTACCTAAAATAGTTTATTCTTATATTATTATTTATTAATTCTTGTATTATTTTCCAAATGAATAACCGTAAGCCCTCTTTTATCCCACCTTATATTGCCTTAGTTAGTTCTAGATTTTCCTTTCTGCTCTCTTTTAAAATAATTACTATATATCTGCTGAGATTCCTCACCTTTTCCCTTATTATGTGCATCCTTTACTTTGAATCTTTAACTCTAATATTTTTTGAGGCTTATATTTAAGCATTGCTAAAGTGGTTGCTAGAGTAGCTCTTACTATAGGACTGAAGTAGTCCTAAATCATATCCCTTCTAGGGTTTCACTTGAATGCCTAATGTGTTCAAATATATCCTTCCACTCCAGCTGGTCAGAACTCCCATTTCCCAGCACCACGTGGCCTCTCAAATCTCCGATCAGCTCATAATCCCCTAGCAGTGGTCTGCTGCCAGGCCTGCACTGTGCCGTACCAGGGGAAGGAAGTGGCTCACCCAAATAGGCAGTCATATTTTATCTCTCACACTGTTTAGGACTGCTGGCAAGGAATGATTTTTAGTCTGTTTTACTGCTCTTTTAAAGTTGCACCCAGGTAGACACACCCCATCACTTCCTCCTCAGTACGCCATTGCCTTGTACTTCTTGACCTGTGCACATACAGCAAAGCATTCAAAGGCTGAGAGATGCAGATTTCTAGAGCTCCTATCTCTGCCTAGGTTTTTGCTTTCGCACACCCTGATCAGAAATCTAGCCAATTCCAGGAGCCCCAAATTCCAGTCTCTGCCTTCTTTGGCTCAGTGGTATCCATGTACTCTGCTTCATTTCCACTTACTTGACCCATGGCCTAGAAAATGCTTCCAGGCAGAAAGCCAGAGCAATTATGGAGCTCAGTTCACATGTTATCTTTCTTTCAGAAAACAGTCCTTTGCTCCTTGGTTATCTAACAGTTAAAAACATGCACTTCAGATATCTTGACTAGTTCCATAGTTATTTACATAACGAAGTGGTCTATTCTATTAGTACCAGTTACACAGCTATAACTAGAAACAGAAATTCATACTAATGGTCTTTAGGAAATACACTGCACTCCTAATTTATAATAGTTAGAAGAATTTTTGCCTCTAAATTCAATGCAAGAATGGTTTCTTATAAATTTAATTATACTTCAAAAACCACCAAGTTCAAAACAGACTCCCATATAAACACACACAAAAAACCCCCCAACACACCTTTTTTATCATCTTTCCTTCAACTTCCATATAAACAAAAGATTTAAAATATGCTGAGTTCCAAAGATGCTAGTAGGTTGATCACTACTGATTTGCAGACTTATCTCTTACCTTATAGAGTTTGAGAATAGCTTTAATACATTCGTGTACAAACTTGGTCTGCTTCTGAAGACTTCCACCATACAGTGCCACCAGCTCTTCGTTGAAATTCACACTGAAGAAGTCAAAGTGGTACCTAAAGTCAATGTCCTCTGCTTTTCTTAGTGCAATAGAGCCAATAGAACGAACTGCAAAGGAAAATGGTAAAGTGTGCATTAAACAAAATTTTAAAAAGTTTCGTCTCTTGTTGTCTTTTAATAACTTTATCCCATACCCTGAATATAAAAACCTATTTCAGGACATCCTTTAATGGTATCAATTTAGAAGAACAAACCAACCTAGAAGGTGTATGTCTTGTGCCCTAAATGTTTCTTTAGTTAAATAAAAAGTTTACAGGTCATTCGTTCTGTACATACTTTCCCTTCAGTAGTGGTGACAATAAATAAAAGGAAGAGAAAGGATTCTTTAAAGAATAAGAAACAGGGTTTTTGTCACACTTGAGTGTTTTAGGAATAAAAAATTCCTACCAAAAAAAAAAAAGGAGTCTGCTCATCACTTCATTTAGGCACACACGTTTGATTTGTCTCTTTTTTACCCATGACATCCAATCCTTGTGAAAATCCCGTCATGCTTCACCTTTTAAATACACCCCCAACTGAGACTTCTCACAATTTCCACCACTACCTTCCTAATCCAAGCACCATTATCTCTTATTGGAAATAATCCAGTAGTTTCTTAACTGGTCTCCCTATTTCCACTGTTGTAGATTTAACTTTGTAAACATTTCACAGAATTTATTAATTGAACATTAATTGGCTTTAGAAGTAGCCGTGTATAGTTCAGCAATCAAAATGCCATTGTTTGCCATTCCATTTTCTTAACTTGCATAGTTCACACAGTATACAACTCTTCATGTACAGTGTACAATTCATGTATTCAAAGAGTTATACAATTGTTTCTGCAATTTAACTCTAGACATTTTAAAAATCACCCCGAAAAGAAAACCCTGCACTCATAAACACTCACCCCTCATTCCTCTTCTCCTCCTAATTCTAGGAAAGCACTCATCTACTTTCTGTCCCTATGAATTTGCCTATTCTGGACATTTCTATAAATGGGATCATTTAATATACGGTCATTTAAGACTGGGTTCTTTCATTCATCATACTGTTTTCAAGGTTCATCCACATTGTAGTTTGTAAGTCCTGTATCGGTCACTAATTCCTTTTTATTGCTAAGTAAAATTCCTTTATGTGGATATATCATACTTTATTCATACATTCATTAATTGGTGGACACTTGGATTGTTTCCACTTTTTAGCTATTATGAACAGCATTGCTATGAACTTTTGCATGCAAGTTTTGGCATAGACATAGGTTTTCATTTGTCTTGGGTAGGTATCTAGTAATGGAATTAATAGGTCTTGTAACTCTATACTTAATATTCTGAGGAACTGTTTTTCAAAGTGGACAACCATTTTACATCCCAACCACCAATGTATGAGGGTTTCAACTTCTTCACATCCTCAACAATACTTGTTATTATCTACCTTTTAGATTAGTTACCTCAGTGGGTATAAAGTCATATCTCACTGTGGTTTTAACTTACATTTCCCTGATGATTAGTGACATTTAGTATTTTTTGTACTTCATCTCTTGCTCCTTTACAGCATATTCTCTACACAGCAAAACCAGAGTGATTATCTTTTAAAAAATAAATCACACGTACTAGATTGGTTCAAATGTTAAAATCTGACAATTCCATTGATGATGTCAAGGATGTGGGCCAAAAGGAAGTATAATGTTCTGTGAGTGTAAGTTAGCACAACCAGTACAAAGAAAACACACAGACTGACATAGAATTATACTCTTACGGTTTACATCTTACAGAAACATAGGCTTATGTGCTTTAAAATAGGACATTCATTATTTATAATTGCCAACACCACAAATGTCCAAACACAGAATACACTATGGTATAGTCATACAACAAAATAATACAGTGTGAGGAAAACAAATGGGTCACAGTTCATTTGACAAGTGGACAGATTTTAAAAACAATTTGAGTATAAGAAGGCAGACACAAAAGAAAACATACTGAGTGATTACATTTATACACAAAGTTTAAAAACTGCCTCAAATAAATAGCTTATATTAGAGCACATTTTAGATGCTACAACTATTTACAAAGTCAAGGAAATTGTCACCTTAAAAATAGGATTGTGAACACATCTAGAAAGAGGGAAGGGAGTTTAATCAGGAAGTTTAACTTGGTTCTTTTTTCCATTGGTATTTACTTTACATTAGTTTTTAACTGGGTATCTATATTCTGTGCATTTCTCTGTATGTTATATTTCAAATGCAATGATTGACCAAAAAATCAGATTATATCATTTCCTACCCAAAACTCTACAAGTTTCCCGTCACGCAAATCTAAATTCAAATTCTCTTCCATAGCTTAAGTGATATTGTCTGTGGTTACTTTTCCACTGTCATCTTTTTCTTTTTTTTTCCACTTTCTCTAGTCTCAGAGTTTATACCAAGCACGTTCCTGTCTCAGGGTCTTCCCCCAAATAGTCACATACCTTAGTCCCTTGCTACTTTCAAGCCTCTGCTCAAATGTCATGGCCTCATAGTGGCTTTCCCTGCCTGAAGTTCATTCTCTAGGTCCTTACTATGGTTTATTTTTCATTCAAACTTCTAACATTACTGACATATATGTTTGATGTCTACCTTCCCAGCAAGAATGTATGTTTGATCACGGAAAAGACATTATCTGGCTTGGTCTGTTCTGGGTCCTTAATACCTAGAACACTGCCTAGCTCATGGTAGGTACCCCATAAATATAAGCTAGATAAATAAACATGTAAGTAATTATAGTACATGTTGAAATAATTCTGTTCTCATTAATAACCAGACAAGCAGATTAGCTGAAATTACTTCCAGATTACTTGACTATAATGCCAGAAATAAATTCAGTATCTCCAAGCCAACATTCAATTTGGAATGTGTGAATATAACTTCCCACCCTCACCTTTCTATGTTCCCCCCAGTATTTCTACCTCTAACTTGTTTTTCTTTCGACATTCAATATATTAGTTTCAGGTGTACAGTACAGTGGTTAGGCTTATACAACTTAAAAAGTAGTTACCCAACTAAGTCTCGTAACCCGGACACCATGTGTAATTACAATATTATTGACAATACTCCCTAAACTATATTTCATATCCCTGTCACTATGTTATAAGTGCCAATTTGTACTTCTTAATCCCTTCAGGTTTTCCAGCTCCAAACCCCCTCCCATCAGACAAACATCAGTTTGTTCTCTGTATCTATGAGTTTATTTCTGTTTTATTTTGTCTTTTTAAATTTCTATTGATTGATTTTGAGAGAACGAAAGAAACGGTGATTTGTTGTTCCACTTTATTTAGGTATTCAATGGTTTCTTCTTGTATGTGCCCTGACTGGTGATTGAACATGCAACCCTGGCATATCAGGACAATGCTCTAGCCAACTGAGCTACCTGGACAGGGCCTATTTTATTTTTCATATTCCACATATAAGTGTAATCATATGGTATTCGCCTTTCTCTGCCTGACTTATTTCATTTAGCATAATGTTCTCTATGCTAAATGTTGCTGTAAATAGTAAGACTTCATTCTTTTTTATGGTTGAGTAATACCTCATTTTACCGACAGAGCTTCTATCCATTCATCTTTTGGTTGGAGCATTCAATCTATTTACATTTAAAATAATCATTAATAAGTATGCAGTTATTGCCATTTTATTGTTTTCTAATTGTTTTTGTAATTCTCTGTTCCTTTCTTACTCTCTTGCTCTCCTTTTGTATGTTGATGACTTTTTATAAGTTTGTGTTTGGATTCCTTCCTTTCTCTTTACTTTTTGTGTATCTCTTAGAGATTTTTGGTTTATGGTTCTCATGGGGTTCATATATACCAAGCTATGTTTATAGCAGTCTATTTCAAGTTAATGGTTGCTTAGGTTCCTACACGTTCTAAAATCACTCCCATTTTTACACACCCTCTCCATGTTTATGGGTTTTTTTATTATTATTTTTATTTCTTTTGTACGTGTGTTTGTATTTCTCCCTTAATTTACTGTTGTACTTACACATGATCTTCCCACCTTTCCTTTCCTTTCAACCTTTGTACTAGCTTTGGTGTTGGCCAACCCACTGCTTTAATCATGTGTTCACCTTTTAAAAATTATGTGTTCAATGTGAATTTTTCATTGTGATATTTTCTTATTCATATTTTTTATTTTTTTCGTAAGAAGTCCTCACCTTGCCCTGGCTGGTGTGGCTCAGTAGGTTGAGTGCTGGCCTGTGAACCAAAGGGTCGCTGGTTTGATTCCTAGTCAGGGCACCTGTCTGGGTTGCGGGCTGGGTCCCCAGTGAGGGGTGTGTGAGAGGTAACTACACTCTGATGTTTCTCTCCCTCTCTTTCGCCTCCTGTCCCCTCTCTCTAAAAATAAATAAACAAAATCTTAAAAAAAAATAAACAAGTCTCTACCACTATTCTGTTTGTTTGCTTAGTTTGTTTTTTAGATTCGGTTGTTTAAGTTGTGAATTTGCCATTTTAATGTTCATAATTTTGATCTTTTTCTTAAATAAATCCCTTTAATATTTCATATAATAAGAGCTTGGTAATGACTTACTCCTTTAGCTTTACCTTTTCTGGGAAGCACTTTATCTGCCCTTCTATTCTAAATAGTAGCTTTGCTGGATAGAGGTTGTAGGTTTCTTCTCTTCATCATTTTGAGTACTTCCTGCCAGCCCCTTCTGGCCTGCAAAGTTTCTTTTGAGAAATCAGCTGACAGTCTTATGGAAATGCCTTTGCAGGTTAACTATCTGCTTTTCTCTCGCTGCTTTTAAGATCTCTCTTTATCTTTAATCTCTGGTATTTTAATTAGGATGTATCTTGGAATGGGCCTCTTTGGGTCCAACTTGTTTGTGATTCTCTGTGCTTCCTAGATTTGTATGTCTACTTCCTTCACCAAATTAGGGAAGTTTTATTATTTTTTCAAATAGATTTCCAATTTCTTTCTTTTGCTTCTCCTTCTGGCACCCCTATGATGTAAATGTTGCACCTCTTGAAGTTGTCACAGATGCTGCTTACACTATCTTTGCATTTTGGGGATCTGTTTTCTTCTTGTTCTGATTGGTTATTTTTGCTTCCTTATGTTCCAAATCATTAATTTGATTCTTGGCTCCGTCCACTCTTCTGTTGTTTTCCTGTAGATTGTTCTTTATTAAAGTTAGTGTAATCTTCATTTCTGACTGAATGGTTTTAATGCTGTTGAGGTGCTCACTAAGTTCCCTGAGCATTCTGATAACCAGTTTTTTTTAATATATTTTATTGATTATGCTATTACAATTGTCCCATTTTCTACCCTTCATTCCCCTCCACCCTGCACACCCTCTCCCACCCACATTCCCCACCTTTAGGTCATGTCCATGTGTCATAGTTCTTTAGCTTCTACATCTCCCATACTATTCTTGCCCTCCCCCTATTTTCTATCTACCATCTATGCTACTTATTCTCTGTATCTTTTCCCCCACTCTCTTCCTCCCACTCCCCTGTTACTAGCCCTCCATGTGATCTTCATTTCTGTGGTTCTGTTCCTGTTCTAGTTCTTTGCTTTCTTTGTTTTTGTTTTAGGTGTGGCTGTTAATAATTAAGAGTTTGCTGTCATTTTACTATACATGTTTTTAACTTCTTTTTCTTAGATAAGTCCCTTTAACATTTCATATAATAAGGGCTTGGTGATGATGAACTCCTTGAATTTGACCTTATCTGAGAAGCAGATAAGGCCTTCCATTCTAAATGAAAGCTTTGCTGGACAGAGCAATCTTGGATGTAGGTCTTTGGATTTCATGACTTGGAATACTTCTTTCCAGCCCCTTCTTGCCTGTAAGGTCTCTTTTGAGAAATTGAGAAATCAGCTGACAGTCTGATGGGAACTCCTTTGTAGGTGACTGTCCCCTTAGCTCTTGCTGCTTCTAGGATTCTCTCCTTCATTTTAATCTTGGCTAAAGTAATGATGATGTGCCTTGGTGTGTTCCTTCTTGGGTCCAACTTCTTTGGGACTCTCTGAGCTTCCTGGACTTCCTGCAAGTCTATTTCCTTTGCCAGATTGTAGAAGTTCTCCTTTATTATTTGTTCAAATAAGTTTTCCACTCATGGCTGTTCCTCTTCCCCTTCTGGTACCCCTATAATTCAGATGTTGGAATGTTTAAAAATGTCCTGGAGGTTCCTAAGCCTCTTCTCATTTTTTTGAATTCTTGTTTCTTCATTCTTTTCTGTTTGGTTGTTTCTTTCTTTGTTCTGGTCCACTTCATTGATTTCAGTCCCAGTTTTCTTCTCATCACTACTGATTCCCTGTAAATTTTCCTTTATTTCACTTAGCATAGCCTTCATTTTTTAATCTAATTTGTGACCAAATTCAACCAATTCTGTGAGCATCCTGATCACCAGTACTTTGATCTGTGCATCTCATAGGTTGGCCATCTTCTTGTCGCTTAGGTGCATTTGTTCTGGAGCTTTGATCTGTTCTTCCATTTGGGCCATTTTTTTTTGTCTTTGACGCACCTGTTACATATGACGGGTAGAGCCTTAAGTGTTCACCAGAGTGGGGCAACCCAGTCACTGGGTTGTGACGCTGTATGTGGGGAGGGGTCAGAGAGGGAACAATGGTGCTCGCTCCTCTTTCTGTTGGATTTCAGTCCCTTCCACCGCTTCCCCCAAACAAACTGGGCCCTTCTGGTGCTGATTCCCAAGTGGGTAGGTGGGCTTATGTATGTTCTAAGACCCTGTGGGTCTCTCCAAAGAACTCTCCTGTAAGGCTGGGAGTCTCTCCCTGCACCTCAACCCCCACAGGTATTTTCAATAGGTGTTTTGAGCTTTTATTTCCCCTGCACTGGAGCCCTGGGTTGTGCAGTCTGTCTTACTCCCCAGTTTCACCTGGTTCATCTGCGTGCAAATATGGGACCACTGGGTCAGCCAGCCACCTTAAACACCACGCTGCTCCACAGTCTGCCATCTTGCTGGGTCCACCTGCTGTCGCCTTGTGTTGGGAGCCGACCAGCAGCGGTCCTTTGACACAGTAAGGACAGATGAGATACATCTGCAGAGCAGAGGCAACTGTGGCTGGATTTCCTGTCTATCTCTCCTCGCATGTTTGTTTTTGCGATTAATAGGTGGTGGGATTTTTAGACACCTGAATTTCAGGGTCAATGATCCGCATAATTCCACTGAAGTTATACAAAATAATTTCTTGGCCACAGAACAAAGTCCCCCTTTAATGAAGTAGCCCCTGAATACCTAAAAAGTTGATGGAGTAACAGACCTTCCTCTACCTTAGACAAAAATATATAAAGTAGAATTAGACAGATGAAAGAAGCAGGGAAAGCTAATTAACTATTACAAACTAAGTACATAGAAATAACTGCCCCCTGCCTAATTATAAGAACTTTAATAAATAATAAGACATCTAAAGCTCTGTACATACGGCTAGTTCTAATAGTCTAATTAATGTCTCTCCTGGTCAAAATAACCTTTGTTTAACATAACTTGATCTATGGAATTTCCTGTACTTTTTCTAGTTACCTCTGCATTAATCTTTTCTGCTTAATTGGTCATGCCATATATGTTACAATCTCTATAAAAATAAAGCTTAAATTAAACTGAGAGTTCGGTCAGACCCGCAGAGGCTGGCTGTTCTCCAGCATCCAACCGGGTGTCTAACTCTTCATTCATCGCCTGCGCCATCCATCCTTCGGGGACTCTGAACCTTGCCAAGGCTGGACCCTGGCAGTCTTGCACACCCGAGGTCCATGAGTCACCACTTTTTTTTTGCCACGACCCCTCTCTGCCCAGCTGCCCAGCTCCGCCCCTCCTACCGGTCTAGATGAATGTGTCTATTTTAACTCCCTGGTTGTTAGACTTCTACACAGTTCAATTTTATGTCAGTTCTGGTTGGTTTTTTATTTCTAAATTTCTGTTGTCCTTATTTTGGTTGTGTGAGGAGGCACAGTGTGTCTACCTATGCCTCCATCTCGGCCGGAAGTTCTGATAACCAGTGTTTTGAATGCTACATCTGGTAAATTGCCTGCCTCTACATTGTTTGGTTCTTTTCCTGCAGTTTTGTCCTGTTCTTTCACAAGGGACATAGTTCTTTATTTCCTCACTTTACCTGCCTCCCATGTTTGTTTCTCAGTAGCTCTGCAACATCTCCCAGTTTTGGCAGAGTGGCCTTATACAGTATGTCCTATGGGGCCCCGTGGCGCTGTTTCCCTATTCACCTGAATGAATGGACATTCCAGGGGTATCCTTGGTGTGAGTTGTGTGTGCCTTCCTGTTATCGTTGACCTTGATTGCTGGTATCATGTCTGAGTGTAGGACTGACCCTCCAGCTGAATGGCTCTGAAGACCGGCCATGACCACAGCAGCAAGTTGTTGTTTGAGAGCTCACTTTAGTGGGGCTCTGTTTCCTGTCAAGTCCACCCTTTAGGTGTGTCATTTGTGGAGCAAACTGGGTGGTGCTTTGGTGTAGTCTGAAGCTAGCTACCAAATGTGTTGGTTCTGAGACTTCTGGAAAGGGGTTCCGGTGTAGGCCAAGGTCAGCTGCTGCTAATGCCTGGCCCAGGACCACCTGGTAGGAGCTACAAAGTAATGTGAACTTGGCAGCTGCCTGTGCTAGGCTTGGAGGTGCCAGAGAGGGGTCATGCTGTGAACCAAGCACAGCTGCCACTAGTGCAGTGCCTGGGACTACTTAGTGAGAGGTACAGGGCATGCTGCAGCCAGCTGCTGGTTGTTTGGGCTTTGTGGACCTTTGAGATTTTAGGGAAGTCTGCAGTACAGGCCCAGGCCAGCTGCTTATGCAGATTAGCCTGAGAGAGGGCTGGTCTGGGTGAGTGGATTGGGTGGGGTGGGGTTTCAGAGAATATCCAGGGAGCACTGTTAGCCAGGTTGATGGGGACTTGGACTTAGTGCCAACATGAGCCAGCAGGCTGGGTGAGTCGAGAGCTCAACAAAGGAACAATGGTGCCTCCCGTAAGTCCCCTTGCCTTGAATCCAGAAGAGAGGTGCTGCTCCATCCCTTGCCCTGAAACCAGACAATTCAGTTCCTTTCCAGGTGTTTTTAGTACTTTTTGAGCTTCTGTCCCTTCTGTGGAGCTCAGAATTACTGTTTGAGAGCAAAAGAATCTGCTCAGGCCCTTTTAAGAGGATGCCTGAGCCTCCAGCAAACTTCTGTCTCACCTGCTGAGTCCCCTGCTGATTTTCACAGCCCACTGTTGCTGGGACTCCTCTTCATGCCACTGGTGCCCTGGGCTGGGGAGCCTACAGTGGGGCTGGGGCCTCTTATTCCTCAGTGTGAACCTCTGCAGCTGAGATATCCCTCTCAATTTTTAACTGCCACACTTGGGTGTGGGACCAATCTGTTTCAAATCTCCACCCCTCCTACCAGTCCCAATGGGGCTTCTTCTTTACATCTGTAGTTACAGTAGTTCTGTTCAGCTAGTGTTCAGGTGGTTCTCAAGGGTGTTGTTTTGTAATTTAGTTGTAATTTTGATGTGGTCATGGGAGGAGGCAAGCACAGCATTTTCTCTGCCATTGTGACAGGAAGCCTGGATCTCTCTAACTAAAACAGCTTCAAAAGAAAGAAAGCAGCCTCTTCTCTTATTCAGTATGTCAAAAACCACTGATTTCCTTCTCCAATCAATACTTCAGGTTCTGTGCTCTGCAACCTCCATTTCCAATAGAAGCCTCTTTCTTCTGCTGATTCCTGAATCCCTGTATCATCTACTTATCCCACCCCACTCCATTTTCTTTTTCTTCTTACTTTTTGCAAAGTGATCTTCAATATTCTTTTCTATGTACTTCTCACGTGTATTTTTCTAGACAAAACATCATACATTTATGTTTCCAGTATGCCTAGCACAGTACTTAACAAACAGTGTGTGCCTGTTAAATTCTTCAACTGCATTTCATAGCTTTCAAAATTTACTTCTGAGACTTACCTTGCTTATAACTTCCAGCATTACCAGGAAGAAAGAGAACTGGAATACCAGTTAAAGGGAGAAGTTTGTGTTCTTCAGCATAGGATCCTTCTCCATAAAGATATAATTCATACGCAGGATAGCGTTTTGTCAATTTCTTTGGAAGTTCTATTTTCTACAGAAAAATAAATAAAATTTAAAATGCAGTATTACTTTAATACAATTCAGCTACACCATACCCAATTCTGAATTATACAAATAGTACAATATAAAAATATTACTGATAATAAAACTTCAGTTAATGCACAAAAGAAGTTTACTTTTACTTTATTCATATAGAAAATCAGTGTTAAATCATGTGAGTTTTGAACCATGTGGTCTTTGTGAAAGAATAAAATGGTACTACAGGAAATTCTAATAAATCTAAATTACTCAAAACAGCCACTGACAACAGAAAAACACTGGTAGATGTCAGCAAGCTACATGTTAGTATGATTGAAAATACATTTAATTTAGTATCCATATCAATTACACTTAGAAATGAAAAGCTTTCCATTATCAAATCAATTCTTTTTTGCTATTTTAAACTGGTTTGTAATGTCTTTCCTTTTACTCAGGCCCAACTACATATTCCAGCGGTTACATCATTCAACAGAAAGCAAATTTGTTTTATAATGCAGCTTTCTGACTTCTCAAACTTAATGCCTTTGACCTACAATGTGCTTAACAAATTAATCTGAGACTGATAGCCAAGTCTGGGTTAAGACACATACACTCTTCTCACCATAAACATTCCAACGAATTAGCATCTGTTTCAGTTTTCATGAACTAGGTGCACGGTTTGTCAGCAAGCCTTAAACTACTCTGCAATTCATATTATTGTGTACCAAATAAGCCAGTAATTCAGATAAATTTTTTCCAGCAAAATATAAATTAGGTCTTAATGCCATCTCTGAAAAGTAGGCATCCACAGAAGTAGAAGTACAAAGTCTTCTTCTGCTTTTTGCAATGAAAGAAACCATTAAAAATGAAACCAGTCACTTTGAACAGTAGATTTTAAGTGACATCAATAGACTTAGTGATCTAGCAGTGCTACGCATATGCTTAATAAAAATTTCAACCACTGAATGCACTTTTAAACTGTAAATGGTAATGACTACTGAAATACTTCACTGCTGTAAAAAATCAGAATTCTCATTATTCATGCGCATTCCTGAACATTCCTATGAACAACCCATGCTAATAACATCATGAAAACACCTTTAGAGTGTGAGCTTAATGTGTCAGATATTAGCAACTTTTTGTCTCCTCAAATATTCAAAAGAGAAATACAAACCCCACTATTTGCATTATATATGCACATGCTCCTTAAATTAGTCCCGATACTGATTATGCACTGATATAATAAAAAAATGAAAATGGTACAATATTTTGTTTCTTTAGGTACAAATTAAGCAAAAAGAAAATGTGAGAGAACTCCTCCCAATTTAGTAAACCATTTGATAGAATAGTAGTATATGCATATGAAATTATTATTCTTTTTAGGTTAGTAGCTAAACCAAGTTTTGAACTAGCTGAAAATTAGCTCAGAAAAACAAGAAACTATAAATATTCAAAAAGGAAATAATTAATTCTCTGGAGACAGAAAAACAAGCAAAAGAAGAGATTTGATATATTTCACAATATACTATTACAAAAGTTATTTTTTGGTGAGAAAGTGTACATCGTTAAAAATATGGATGCATATAATATGGAGCAGCAAAAAGTAGAGATAAAAAAGGAGGTAGAATAAAAAAACAGTGGGAGCTGTAGGCAAATAACAAAACTGCATTTCCAGACAGAATTAAAGCTGGATGAGTGGCAGCAAGAAACAGGAAGGGTACTGACCAGACTGGGGACAGAAAAGGTACAGGTACCCAAAGAGCATGCTGACTGAAAACGGAAGAGTCAATGGATTTGGAAAAAAAACACACAGCAACAGGAATTGAATATATTTTACACAGATCACTTTATATATATATTAACTTAAATGAGCAGCCCTACCCCCAAGAAAAACGCCTAATTAAGATCAATAACCTTTACACTTAAATATTATCTCCACACATCATGCCCCTTGCTGTCCCTCCTCTCTGGACTCCCTGCTTTAGTACAGGTTCTTCTCATCTCTCACCTAGATCCCTTTCAAAAGGCAAACATTCTAATAAATTCCCAACTGCTAGAAAAATATTGGTTTAAGAAACTAAAGTCTTTATTTTATGATATATCTTTTTAATTGTGATTTACAAATGCAAAGCAACCAAAAAAGGAAAACAAAAAGATTCATTCATCAAAATGAATGCAGCTTATAAGCTCTTATAAAGAGCTAGCTCTCGGCCCTTTGTCCCCGCCACACTTAAGAACACTCCAGTGGCCTCTAGCTTGATAAAAAGACCTAGGGACAACTCGTGCATCTCTCCCCGTCATAATCTCCCTGCTACAATCCACAGTCCCTATCGCTGTCCAGAAATACCTTGTTAAAACATACACCTATGTCTTTCTTCACTGCACATAGAGATGAGAAAGGCTGAGAGGTCCTTTAAAACCTGGCTCTCATTATTCTTCCTACTTTCTCATAACTTACACATGCCAGGTTTTAAAATTTATGTTTAATATGTTTCAAATTTCAACAGGATACATGCTCGGTAGGCTGTCACACCTGCGCTCTTTCAGCCATCAGTTTCCTGCCCAGAAGGCAACCAATGCCAGCAGTTTGTGCTCAAAGAAATACTTTACACATGCACATATAAGAACACATGTTTACAGGTTATTTTCTCCCTTTCACGTAAGTGGTTACATACTGTACATACTGTTTACGCAATGTATCCTGGTACCTTCTTTATTCACAAATGCTAGTCTTTATTCCTGCCATTTTTTGTTTCTGTACTTTATGAACTATGGTACCTATCCTCCCTGGCCCAATTCACTACCTCTTTTCTATGGCCTTTGACTACCAAGACAAGCCTAAATGCTCTCTTCTGCAAAGAGCCTTGTACACACTCTTATAGTGAAATTGTAACATTTAGCACATTTTAATTATCCATTACATTCCTGCTTTCCCCCATTTATAAAGACATAAAGGCACAAAATCTAATTCATCTGAAATTCCCTCACTCATAATTAGTTTCTAGAATATACCAGACACATATCACTCAATAAATAATTTGCTAAATAACAGAATTAATAACAATGTATGTGATTCATATTTTCCAATATCTTTCCTTTCAGACAAGATCAGGCACGTTCAAGGTGGTATGGCCGGAGACCAATATCTTTCCTTTCAAAGAGCAACTGTTGGATCACATATCTGAAGACAAGCAAATAAATTACTCTAATGGAGAAACCAACACAGATGTTCTTTCTCCAGTTCTACAATTTGCCCAAAGCTGTTTGCTACCATATGAAAGCTCTGCCTCGCTGTCATAAGGCAAGAAACTTTAAAGGCTAATGTGTATTTTGCCTGGTTAGGTTGGTGAGATATTCAGTTAACTCTGAATAAGCAAATCTAGGAAAACCAAAGGTAGAGAATGAATAAAGGTAATCGAACAGTTTTTAATTCAATACTTCATCTTTACCAAGAGCGTCAAATTCCTATCCCACCTCTTATTTTTCAAATGGAAAATAAAATTAAGTATGTTTCTTATATTGCTCATTTCCTTTAAAAGAGAAGAAAACCCAACAACTGGGATATTCCATCCAACAGATAAGAATCTGTGAACAGTTAGAGAGGTTATTATAAAATATAATTAAAAGCAATATAAAATCAGTTTAGAACATTTGATTTATTAAAAACCATTGGTTCTTAATAGAATGACCTCAGCTATCAATAAATCTTGCTACATTCAAAATGACTCATTTCCATGGGTAGGTTTTCACTTATTTGTAAAACAACAAAGCCTAGTGTGTACAATAAAAGGGCTAAGAGTCAAACATAAACACTGTAGTGAATTAACACAGCTTTTTTAAATCATAAAAATCTACCAAAACACATGGATCAAAAACTCCTGCCACTGTGATTATTATTGTACTAACACATTATTAAGAGTGTCAAACCTCAAAAGGGCAATTTGAATCAAAATAAGTAAATACAGACAACAGGAAAAAAGCCAAATGGCTCTTTTGCATTAGCTACACTAATTTTCAGTGTCTTTCTAGTCAATTTTATGAGGAACGAAATGCATCTGGGAGGTCCATATGCTTTGTTCCCAACACTAAGCAATTTCTACCACTGCTAATATTAAAATAGGTTCAATAATTGTGGGCAATTTAAAAATAAATGGGAATTAGTACACTGTTACTAAATAACTGTATTTTAACCAAACTCTTCAGTGTAGTAGAAAACTAAAGTGATTTCAATCTACTGGGAGTTTCCTAATTATTAAACCATAAAAAAAACATAAGTGACAGATTATAAGGGCTTTTTTTAGTTTTAAAAAATCGAAACTAGACGCCCAAATATTTAACTATACATAGACTCAGATAAAAATAAACCAGCATATTTGCTTAGAAAGTAAGAGACAACAGTAACGTTAAAATTTTCTCCTTCTATAGAATTTGATATCAAATGCTTCCAACCCCTTACAAGCATTGATGCAAAATGAAGGTAAGAATCTCAAAACAAATAAAATCTAAACTAGAATTTTGCCTATGGAAAAGGAAGCTCATCAGCAATTTAAACCTTAAGTAGTTTTGAGACCTAAATAATAGCGGCATAATCAACTATGCTTCTCCATAATGACCAGTACCCAGAAACAATCACGACAGGCATTCTTTATCTTAAAGAAAATATCTGCTATGGTTTTAAAAGTACACTAGAAATACATGTTGTCTCTATGTATTATAGTGTATATACATCTTATGGCAGGAGGCTACTATAATATGTATTTTGTCATTAAAAGATATGCTTAGAAATAAAAAAATCATTCGGAAGAAATATCTTCGGACAGTGGTGTGATGTATCACTATCTCTTTTTACAGCTGGTTATGAATGAAATTCTAGATTCTTTCATGCTAACCTGATGAAACAATTGTGATTGAAAATGTTCAAAATGAAACCTAAGAGGTGGAGGCGGAGAGAGGAGAAGAGCTGGTCTCAAACAGCAAATTTAGTGAGAAAAATAAAACTAACTCCAGAAAATAGATTTTGAATGCAACTGGTAAGAGGCGACATGCATAAACACAGGAGTGCAGGCACACGCAAGGACCCACAACCTACAAAACAGGAGACTCCGCAAAATCTTCAGAGGAGGGAACCTCAATAGTTTTCCATTTAATTACTCATCGGGGTAGCCCTTCACACAGAGGTAAAACCCTGGAGTCTCTCAGGCAGCCCTGGAAACTACCCAGCCAAACACTGCAGAAGCTCGGTCCCTTCCCAGAAAAGCAAGAGCTGACATGTACATCACTGGGCGAGAGGGGAATTTAGATGCGAGGAAAGCAAAGGAGGACCCAGGGGCACCTGTTAAGGTAGGAATTCGGAGAAGATGGGGTTTGGATTCAGGGAGAAAGGCAGAGACTCCGTTTCTGGGGATGAAGGGGGTTGGGCGCGACGAGTCTGAAAAGCCCGTGCATAACATTTAGAATCTGACCGAGGGGCAGGGGAACAAGTAAGAGTGGGGACAGAAGGATGCTCAGGAAAGCATCTAAGAAAACCCCACTGTCAAGAAAGGACACAAAGGGCAGGTGAGGGGAATAATGGGGTCCTGCAATCTTCCAGGGCAGAAAGACACAGAGACGAGGTTGGGATAAAGAGGTCTGAGAGGCGCGGGAAACCGAGATGGAGGAAACCCATAGAAGGTCCAAGTAGGAAGCGTCTGAATTTCGGAGCGCCCAGGTGAGCCGGCGGAACCTCACCTGATACTCCGGGTACTCAAACATGTAGCTCATACTGCACTTGTTCTCCTCGAAGCCGAAAAAGACGTCCCACAGCCCTAGGGTGGCCATGAAGATCATGAAGGCATAGAACGCCAAGTTGCAGAAGTTGACAGAGTGAAGAAACATCGTGCCGCCGCCACCACGAGGCCCCAAGCATTAACTGAGCCAGCCGAGGGCTCCTGGCCGCCCGCGCCGGAGCCGAGCCGGAGCAGCGCGCGCTTGCGCCGACGCTCGGGCAGCGGGCGCTCCCGCCGCACAGTGCGCCTGCGCGCAGCCAGCCCGCAGCGCCTTCCGCCTAGCTCTGCCCTGGTGAGCGGAGGTGGTGATTGCAGCTGGACTGCAAATCTGAGCCGAGAGGAAAAAAGCGGAAAGCGGGTGGGGCTGGGATGCATGGTGATGGGGAAAAGGGGAGGAGCAAGGAGAGGAAAAAGGAAGAAGGGGTCAGGGAAGGGCAATGAGAGGCGAGCTGGAGGCTATGAGTGAGGAGGGGAGGGGAGGAGGGACAGGCAAGGGAAAGGGGACGAAGAACTGGGGAGGAATGGGCGGAGCGCCGGAGCCCTGGAGGCGAAGTGGGGGAAGGGCTAAGGGTGGGTGTCGGGTGGGTTAACTTGGAGACGCGCGGGAGATCAATGATGGTGAGCTGACCCGGGCCGGGGAGAGGGGACAGTAGAGTCGTCTTGTCGCAACACCTCCTTTACCGTTCAATTTTGAAATGGCTCAGGCCTCCGCAGTTTGGTTCCCCCAGCAGTAACAGCACGTTCACAGCTCTTAGGACCAGTGAGCCGCAGCGGAGAACAAATGGTTTTCCCCCACGTCTTTGGCCGGCACGTCGGCCCAGTATGTAATAGCACATAAAAGCACCGGCTCATAAAAAGCCACCAGCAGGTACACAAGATTCTGTTCTTGGTATAAGATGAAAGCCTGGATCACAAAAACCGTCCTTAGTTTTTAAAAAATGTCACCAAAACTTCCACTAACACTTACGCCCCCAACAAGTATCAGCGTAATCAGTTTGAGGCTGACTGCCTTGCTCCCCAGAGCTTCCTCCTCTTGGGAAATTGGTTCCATATTAACGGAGGGAAGCAATTTAGCTCAAGCTTGTACTCAGACTCTCAAGTGATTTAATTCATCTTGAAAAATTTCGGTTTGGCTTTGCACAAAGGAGGGGGTAAAAGCATCTCAAAAACCCATCCATAATCATGTATGGCGTCATCAAACACTACTGGAATGTTATGAGGAAAAATGATGTCACTCTTTAAAGCTGACCCAAGAGGGTGTGTGTGTGTGTGTGTGTGTGTGTGTGTGTGTGTGCGCGCGCGCAACTGCAAAATTCTCCATAGAATTGTTTTTGGCAGTGACTGCATTTCACTCGGGCTGATTTTCTGGTATTTTTTTTTTCTGTGCAGAGGAAGTTTGGCTATGATAGAAAGAATTTTAGAACTAAAAGGAAGCTTATAGTATATCGTAAACAATATCCTGATACTGAGATGTGAGAACACCTGGGATGTGGGGTGGGATTTGGAAGGAGTTAGTGCCATGGATGACAAATCATTTGGGGAACAATTTAAGTTATACATAAAAAAGGAATACTGTATATAGAGCCTGGGAGCTTGAAACATCACAGACAGAATGTCTGCTCCTTGTCACTCCTAGCATATCATGACCAGCACAGATAAATGAAGGGTGAATCTGCATTCTCGCATATCAGTGCTTCTTAAATGTAATGTGCATATGAATCGCTTGGAGATTCTGTTTAGGAGAAGATTCTGATTCAGTAGTTGGGGAGTGGGAAGCGAGATCTTGCATTTCTAACAAGCACCTGAATGATGCCAGTGATGCTTGTCAGTGGACTATGCTTTGAGGAATAAGGAACTAGCCTGCCAGTCTGAGGACTCTGCTACATGGAGAAAACCCTGGCTTGAAGATGACAGAGCTTGCTCTTCTGGTGGCTTTCATGGTGTGGCATCCTACTGCCTTTATTGTCCACTCAGGAAGAAGCAGGATAGAATTTGATGGAGGCTTCATGTTTGTAATTTTTATGTTCCTACTTTTTGACTCCTCCCTCCACCCCCCATCCATTATTATCCCCTCCCTGGCTTCACTTCCTTTCATATGTAAACTAGCCCTACGGATACTGCCTAACCACCCCCTGCTAGTGCTGTCAACTTCCTGAACAGCTCTTTCAATCCCACTCTGTTTACGGGCTTCCAATTTTGGATGAATATAGTCTGCCTCTGAGCTCTGACACTCGTGCATCTAAGCTCTGCTGAAGAAAATGACAAAATTTTTTGAACTACTGTTCAGAAATACATGTATATGTTTCTGATCGACTTTCTCTCCTTCAAACCACTTGTTTTTAAGCTCCCCGCACCATCTTTTTTTAGCAGAGTATTAGTACATACCTCTATCTTCATATTCATATTCACAGATAATTTTGATTTTCAGGTGCACATTCCTTCAACTCTTAATTTCCAAGTTACTCATCTCCATCCAGTCCTAATTCAGTTAGTACATCTAACTGAATAGTGCCAGATCAATGCCTGGCACCGTTACGTGATCTGCTATCCTTAGAGGACATCAAAAGCAAGCCCCTCCGGTTGTGCTTTAGTGCCTGTCCCCTGGTCTCTACAGAACTAGTTCTATCAAGTTAAAGTCTCTGCCAGTCTTCCTCATTCTGTCCTCCAGCCCCTGAAGCATATAAACACGCTTAGGCCTTATTAATGTTAAAGAAGAAACATCCTTCCTGCAACTGTCACCTGTAGTCCTGCCTTCTCATCTCAGTCAGGGCTCCTAAAGCGTTGGTTTTTAAACCTAAATGAACGCAACCTTTCATAAAGGAAAAGACCATAGAGTCATTGGACAACCACTCTTCACCTGAACTATTTAGTAACTTCATTAATGTAACAGTTTTTCGGAAAACCTATTAGGTTCGTTTAGGCTCCACTTAGTTTTTGTTTGCTTGCTTTATCTACTGGAGGTAAAGACTGTCTTTCCCACACACAGTTGCCACCCTCATAGTACCTGGGTTTTGTACAGAGAAAGAAGAAATTGTCTGTCTGGTGGTCTAATCTAGTTGTTTTCTAAAATTAAATTCACTGAGTTATATTGGTCACAGTGTACTACCCTCACACTATAGTTTTAAAAATAAACCTTATTATTTTTCTTAAAAATACAAGTATATAATAGATAGGCTGTTAGAAATGAAAATTTATTTCCATCAATGGCCTTAAAACCCTTTCTCATGCTTGTTGGTTTTACCTACCACCTACTGCCTTACATGTAATAGGCATAGGCATTCATAACTATTTGTTTTTTAATTTATTTGAAAATAAGAGTCTACAGGTTATAGTCATAAAACCTCACCTTTTCTTTGATGCTTCAAAGCTAAAAAAAAAAAAAAAAGAAAAAGAAAACCTCATGCCAGCAACCCTGTGGCTGCCAGCTCTGTTTCCAAGGAGACAGAGAATAGATCATCAGAAACAAAATAGGGATTTTCAACCTGATTACCCTTTTTTCACTAGTTCGGTCTCCATTGCTGCAAAATGAAAGGCAACATAACCTCAGCCTTGCAATTCATATTTTAATTGTGTGTGGTGTTTCTCACTATGAAAACCAGGCCCCTCAAAATTAATCTTTTGGGTTGTATACTGGTTTTCTTGTAGAGAAAGTTAAACTTGTTCACGAGGATGAAGAGTACCTTTCAAATATAAAGCACTGTGTATATTTGCTAAATAACCTAAGATATTTTAACTTTAGAATTGCCAAGTGTTTAAGTTATTAAATCTCAGATTTAACATTTCTGTGGAAAATATAAGAAAGCAATGGGAACATAGGAGGTCTGTCTGGAAAAGTCTAGCCATTGTTAAGATAACAAGAACGGTTTTCATGACACTGATCTAACCTTTCAGCCAAGGAGAGTGGACGGGAATGTGCATGTCAGTGACATGCACAATGACGACTTCACTGTACTAGTCAGAGGGGGCAGTAGATGCCACTGAGTGAGCATGTGTACTGTGTGGCCAAGGCATTCAAAATGACCAAGCGAATAGAGCGACGAATCTGCATCAAATTTTGCATTAAGCTTGAATGTTCCTCTGCAGAAACTATTCAGATGATTGAGAAGCTTCATCTGAATGGTGATTGGCAGCTTCATCATGCCAACGTGCTTGCTCATAGATCGTGTCTCATGCAGAGTTATTTGGCAAAATAGCAAATCATCCAGGTTACTCAGCCCAGCCCCCTCTACAACCCAGATTTGGTGCCCTGTGACTTCTGGCTTTTCCTAAAACTAGAATCACCTTTGAAAGGGAAGAGATTTCAGACTCTTGATGAGATTCAGGAAAATATGACAGAGCAGCTGATGGCAATTGGGAAAACTGTGTGAGGTCCCAAGATGCCTACTTTGAAGGGGACTGAGGCGTCATTGTTCTATGTACAGTGTTCTTGTATCTTCTATCTTCTTCAATAAATGTCTCTATTTTTCACATTACATGGCTGGATAGTTCGCTGCACAGATCTCATATAAATAAAGGATAAAGACTTCTAGAATGAAGTGTTTAATTTAAAGAAATAAGAAAGAACAGGACAGGTAGGAAAAATATATAGGAGTCAAAGGAAAAACGATTGGACTTCTGTTCAACAGAGCGAAGTATCACTGCAACATTGTTCTTTGTTCCACAGATTTACTTCTACCATGGATACATGATCCTGAAAAATAACAGCTGGATATAACAAAAGTCTGGTTTAGCATTATTATATTACCTAGTGGTGTTATGTGTTTTACAAAAACAATATTCCCTTCAACATGTTTTATACCTTAAACTCATATAATGTTATGTTCAATTGTATCTCAATAACACTGGGAGGAAAAATAAAGCACTGTTTCTCTGTTTTAAAAATGTAGTTGAAACCAGAGGATTCTCTTCGGGGTGAAGTACACAACAGAAATTTGCTTCAAGGGAAGTACAACTTAAAAGGCTTTGAATGGCATTCACTATTTTCAGAAAATGAATTCTGCACTTCAGATAACCATTCCCAGGGGAAGGAATGATTAATGTGATTATTGCTGGGGGTCTTCCTTATCAGTTCTCTGCTTATACGTCTGTTTCCGTCAAAGGGTTCTATCTTTTCAAAGGCATGGGCTACAAGAGGTTCTTGGTCATTTTAATACCTAAACCCAGTACAAGGCCTTGCAATTAGAGGTATCCTGTTTTTGAATAATTTTTTATTTAAGTCATACATTATC